ATGGCTAGCAATTAATGAAGGATTTATGGCAACATGTCAACCCTAACAATCTATGGCTTTGAGGACGAAGAAATCCAATGCCGTGACTTAGCGGGAAAAAGAAGGTGTAGGCAGGATAAAATTAAAGAGAACAATACAACTTTTAACAGGCTTTGATACCATTATTAAAATCTATAGCTCCACATAAACAGCAATATCTAGAGAGACTTTGGACGAGAGTAACAGTATTAAAGTAAACTCAATCTCCCAGCAAGTCCGAAAGTGTACAGGAACTGGAAAGACACTACACAAAGAGAATTGCTGAGTCGCATGATGTGTAGTTAGGTTTTATTTTGTTCTCCCAATAAGTTTACTTCTACCGTCCTTTTAGCTGGAGATAGGTCAAGACTCATCCTAAGTTTGTATTTATTTCATTATTAATAAAAATGGCACCTAGTGTGGGATAACTAAAGAAAAAATAAGCTCTTAGCGTGAATTTCCCTATAGGGATATCCTATTTGTAGCTCTCACTCCAAATCCCACTTAACCTAATTTGGCCTAAACCTAATTACCTATTTCATCCAAGATAAGTACAGAAAAAGGGGATAAAAAAATCCTGTTAAAATTTAAATCACTATCTACATCATAAATCTCATACATGGTTTGAATCCTAATCAGTACTTCATTTCTTGGTTTACCAGAACATCATCCATTACCTCCCAAAACAAACCCTTGAAAATTCAGAAATCGATTAGTGCCTAGAAAAAGCATTTCCAGGTAGATAGTAATTTGTTTGCATAAAATTAAATTGGCGTAATTAGTCAAGAATTTCGAGAAGTAAAAGCAATCACAATGTCAAGCAACAGCAGAGAAGAAAAAAAAAAGGTTTCTACTTACACAAAAGCATGAAACTCAAACCCCAAAAAATTGAAGATTAAATAATCAAGAAAAACCCAGTAAACAAGGAAAAGAGAAAACCCACCTCACAGAGCAGCACGGAAATACTGAAACTTGATCGAAAGTGCAATTTGGGGATTTCAGTACTGAATAATAAGAATTAAATAAGTAAGAAGTTGAGAAGAGATATATTTGTAGAGCAAGATAGCGTGTTAAAGGGTCGCTTTCTCAATTTTTCCAAAGATCTCTCTTTGTCGGGTCGAGTAAATTTCTGGGTTATCGAATCTGATTCATCAATGTTTATCATGACACGTAAGGATTGACGAAGAAAAGGTGTGGACCCCAAAGATGAGCATGACGATGATGGAAAACCGTATATCCAGCAGATTAAACTTTAGCAAAGCTGTAATTTTGTCCACAGGTAGAAAAAGTGGAAGAAATGAGAAAAAAAAAAATCTAAAAAGTTGAGGTTATGCAATTTCTTCGAAGGTTGCTAAAATATGAACCACAAAAGTAGGTATGGCTATGGGTCAGCTGAGCAGCTCGCTGGCAAAAATTATGACTCGATCCATGAGTTCAGCTCATAGCGAATCAAGCTGAACAGCTCGTGGACTGCTGCGAGAAATGTTAAATTTTAAATACAAATTTCATAATATATTTAAAAAAAAAAATTTAAATACATTACAAAAATAAAAATTAAACGGCCTGGCTTGTGAGGCTAAACTCAAAAAAAGGTTGAAACCCAACCTTAAGGGCTCCCACCGATCCTGTCCTGGGCCATCGTGGAGGAGGTAAATCGCAGGATGTGCCTCCCAAGAGTCAGGGTGGAGAGCACATGGATAGGCCAAGGCTGTTAACCCATATGGATAGGCCAAACTCAAGCTCATACTTGTATGGGTCCAAGCTTTGCAAGTCAAGCCTACAAGCTCCTAAGTAGCTTCGGCATGTCATCCCTAGACCAAAGCTTTTGTCCAAGATACAATAAAAAATTGAATAGTGCTACTTGCACATAATCGAGTTACATAATAGTTTATATAAAGATAAGGTGTCAAAAGAGAGTGAAAATTTTCACCACATTATGTGGACGTAAATCATTATGTATATGTAGTACAATCGAAAAATTTACATAATTACTCTCATTTGTTATAGTTATGAGAGATTGTAATGTCCAAAGTCATTATCTTAACTATTAATAAAGCGATACAAGTGATTTAGCTGAAAGTGCATTTATCAAATACAAATTGAAGGAAGAACCACACTTTAATCAAGTNGATCCAGTAGTAAATTTTGGTGTCAGCCCCATGTGAGTCCTAGAAGAGTGGAGTGTAAATTAAGTGATTTCGAAAGGTCAATTCCGGGAGAAAAATACTACGGCCCGGGTGAGTTAAACAAAGCCACCCCATTGGCCTTTGACAAACCAGGCAAGCACACTACAAATATTTGAGGAGAAGAAAACGACCGGCTCAACTGAGCTGGGAGGGAATAATTAAACCGGCCGAGAGCAGCTAGACCTTTCACTCCTTTAGCAAGACCCCTGTAAATTCTCAAAAATTTATTCGGCTCAGTACAAGAAAACAGAAAGTCTAAGACTCGGCCAAGTTGTCCCGGTTTCTTGGTGGGCAAAGCAAGCTTGTCGATAAGCAATTCATTAGTGGCGATTTTCTGGGTCACCGGGTTTTCAGGAAGGAAACTGCATGAATCATTGAAGCAACCCGAACCCTGTTTGTTAAAACAGTTGGAGAAAATACCTGGTTGAGATCTGTCCAGAGGGAGGTACTGCTATAGACTGGCTGGTAGTCTGGTGCGAGGAAGACTTGTAGTGTCGAGCACAGTCGTAGAATGGGAGGTAAGAACCTAGTTCCAACTGTAATTTGGAGGGCTGAGAGGGGTTTTGAGAACATGGTATACAAATTGGTAGATTCATCTTTGGTAATAGGGCTGACAAGAATTTGCTGTGAAGTGAGTGCAAAACAAGAAAACAATACAAAGATAATGATGAATGATGATTATAGGCATAATTGAAGTCAAATAGTGTACAAGCTAAAGATATGTAAAGTCCGTCTATATATATAGACACGCGGCATTTAGATTCTTGAAAACACTTTTTTCTTCTGATCTTTATCAAGGGTTTATAAAAAATTGAGTTGGGTTCTCGATGAGTTTTATTCTGGTTGCATTTATTGGCATGAGACTAGAGAAATTAAGGAAAAAAATGTACAAAGATTTAGAATCCAAGAGAGGATGAAGTCTTTGAGTTCACATTGAACATTGAAGTATTCAATGTTGATTGACTGCAAAGGACCAACGTTACCTCAAAAAATATGGGTGGCTTGGCCCTAGGGCCTCTAAACTCGTAGTAATACCATTATACCAGTACAACAGTCCATGTCTGAATCCATTATACCAACAATTCAGCAGGAACTCAAAATATTGTTACACGTGTAAAAAAACTATAGGGCCTCAAAATAATTTTTCTCTTAGGGCCTCTAAATTCTCAGGTCCAACCCTGTCATTGCAACTTGTATTTGTTAATTTGATAGATATTGTGATACAGCAAGGTTTGCAGCATATTAGTCGGATAGAACATTGTAGAACATGGCTATTGTGGTAGGGAACAAACATGGCTGGCTTGATAGTTTTGTTATTTACACTCAAAAGAGTTACATGAGACTTTAGATTACTCCAGTTTTTTTATTTTTTTTTTGTAAGTTTTTACTTTTGGATGTTGAATCAGCTAGAGAGAGATGTGCTTACTTATAATTTCGGAGCAATAGCCATCTCTCCCAATTGAAAAAGAGAATTACTACTACATTACACATAATGTTGCGTTAAGTATTGTCCAACAAATTGTTTATCAATGACTGAAGAATATGAACTTTCTACTTATAATTGTCATAAAAAGGAGAGCAAGAGAGGTTAGAGAAGATAATGCTCGTGATTGCTCTTGTAAACTTTTTTTCATAATG